GGGTCCCGGCACCGCCGCCCCGCGGCAATAACGGAGGAGGGTCCGCCGCAGGGGTCCGGCTCCGACCCGGCGCGGGGCCTGCGAGAAGCCGGGAGACGCTGGCAAACTGGATCCTCCCGACGCGGCGCAGGCGGGGGAGGGGCCGGAGGGGTCTCCAGGGGAAAGCGCCACCGCGTCCTTACCGGGAAGCTGTCCGGGCCGGGGGCGACTGCGAGGCGCTGCGCTGCGGAAGCCGAGACCTGGAGAGACCACCGGACCCGGAGCCGCCGGCGGAGGAGGGGCGCGGGGCGGGGCGCGGAGCAGCCACACCCCGGAGGGCCCCGCCGCCGGCCGGGTGCACGCCCTCGCTGTGCCGAAGACGCCCGAGAGGGATGCAGAGGCGGGAAGTGACTTGTCTCCACCTGGACGTCCCACAAGTAAAACTACGCACGTGCTAAACCCAACCCGTCATCAATCAGTGCTTCCTGTGAGCCCCGCATGCTCCCGCGCGCGCAGGAGAACCTGCTCCTGGGCTTGAGTTCTGACCCGTCAGTACTGTCTGCTCACACCATCCGCCCGAGCACCCTGCGTTAGGCTTAACTCCCCGCCCCCTCCCGCCCATGCACCCACCAGTCCTTGTCCGTCCTAGCCCTCCCTTCTGTTTGAGCCCCGGTTAGGCCTTCAGCCTCCCTCATCTAAAACAACTGACGGCCTCACAACGCGCTTCGACCTCCCCTCTCCCCAGACGGAGCCTCCCTCAGCCCCTCCTCGAAGAGCCATCTGCTCCTGTCTCTCTCTGCCCTGCTTTGAAGATTCCCTCTGCCTACCGGATGGCATTCAGACTCCTTAGCAAAATACCCCATGCTCTTCGCAGTATGCCCTGCTACCTGGCTGCCCGTCTCCCCACCCACCTCTCCAGCCCCATTCAGCTGCCCGGTTCGCACCCTGAGAGGGGGATCCCTGCCTGCCCAGCACTATTGTGTGCTCAGGTTATCCAGTTCAGGCTGAGACACACTCCTGACCAGATTCTAGATTCTCATAGAAATCAGGTCTGTCATCGACTTGCAGACAATTCTCACCTCCTGTCCGCCTGTCAAACCATTAGCCCACCTTTGTTGGTGGCCAGCTTCCCTGGGGGAGTCAGCGAGCCCCTCCTCTGAGCGTGTGCAGCATTTGATGCCCTGAGATGGTGTGAGCCCGGAGTGCCTCTCCTCAGGACTCAGAGCTGATCTCACCTTAGCTGTTCTAGCAGCCCCTGTGATCACCTGTCACTGACCAGATGGATGGCAATGTAGGTCTCAGGTACACCTTATCGGCTTTCCAGTCTTCAAGCTGCAGAGCATTAACCCACCATACACTGGTAATGACTGTCCCTTGCCCTTACTCTGGAGCAGTGTTTTCTTGGGCCTCAATCTGAAGCACACTTATTAGGGTTTTCCTTTTCAGAGTTACCAAATGTCAACTGTGGAAAGCATCTGGGAACCTCACTGGACATTTTCCTGTCCAGGGGAGAGTTGTTTGCCCTTGATCAGGTCACTCTTTACTTATGGGACAGTCAGTTCCAAGCCTCTGCTTTCACTCTCCTTCCCTCCCTGAGGAAGCTGTAATCCTCATGTCTCACTACATACGTGTTCATTCCCCAGAAGTCCAGGCACGCTCATCCCACCCCCCAATACAAACAGGCCATGCTCTGTGTGAAACAGAAACGTAGCTAGCCCTCGGCTGCCGCAGAAGACGGTGGCCCCCTCCCAACTCTCCTCTTCCCCTCCTCCTCCTGGGAAGTCCCTTCTCTTCTGTTGCCTCTAACAAAGCCAGGTGAACAGGGAAAACACCAAGAAAGAAAACCTGACAAAATCTGTGGCAAAATCATAGTTGTTCCCAAATATCCATTCTCACTTTCTACCTTCTCATAGTAGAACTCCTGAGTTTTACCTGGGCACAAGGTTGCCCAAATAAAGATAACATTTTAGTTTCTCTTCCAGGGAAAGGCAGTCATGTGACTAAGTTCTGGCCAATGGGATATCAGGGGAACTGCAGATTGTCAACTCAAGAGTGGCACCTTTCAAAGTAAGGGACACTCCTTCCCCTTTCCTTCCCAACTTACTGGAACTTGGACATAGGGTGGTAGCCCATCTGGGTTAGAAGGAACCAGGTCCCTGGACAACCTCAGGTATCAGAATCTTACCACAATCACCACCCTTACCGACCAGCTTGGACTTTTAAATGAAAGAGAAGTTGGGCTGGCTGGTTAGAGCGTGGTGCTGATAAATAAAAGAGAAATAAACTTCTACTTTGTCTCTGTTAAAGCAACCAAATCAATATCCTAACAAATGAAAGCTACTTACAAGATTTCTCCCACTTTGTCTGAGGCCATCCCAGGAACCCAGGCCCACTGTCCACATAGCTTTTCTGATTTTTGGAGGAGTGACAACTTCTCACACTCCCCTATCCACTGAGTCCCTGAGAGCTTCTCAAGAACAGGATGCCTATCTGTTATTTCTGATGAATCCTCTGTGCCCAGTACAGTCTTGGTAACCTGGGAGATCCTCCATAGGTGCTGTGGACTGGCTCAGTGCCAAGAGTGGATGGGCTGCAGGGGCAAGGAGAGGGAGAATGCCTGTGTGTGTGTGTGTAAGGTCTCTCAGGCCAATGTAAATGATTTATGTAGTATTTACACTCTCTGTTAGCTTGGGTTCTCCAGAGTACATGAAAAGAAAAAAAGAACACACAGCAATACAGCAGTGCAAAGTAACCAACTCAATGAATCCTACATCGGGATGAAACATTTTAATCTGATGGTAGCACGTAACGCTATACAGGGAGCACTCACAGCTCCAAGAGTTTCCTTCCAGATTATAAGGAAGTTCCCAGAAATAACTAGCTATGCTACAGCCCAGTCCACTGACTGGGAAGGAGGAAAAGTAGATGGGAAGAGCATCATGGTCTGCCCTCGTGTCACTCGTAGATCCAGTCCCGAGCACAGCTCTTATAATCCACCAGTTCCTCAGGGCGAAACCACAAACCGATCTCCTTCTCTGCACTCTCCACAGAGTCACTGCCATGAATAATGTTCCTGGTAGGGAAAGAGAAAGCCACATCACCAAGGCCAGAAGGATTAACTGCCCAGAAGCCCGCTGCCCTCCCATTGCAGACAGCCTCAGCCATGCATCAAATGGTATACTTGATTTGATGGTACATTAGACCACTGTCAAAAGAAAAAACCCATGGCTGCCATTAACGTAAAGATGAAGAATGTCCTCCCTGCATCTAGCCCTCCCAACAACACTGATGCAAACAGTGAGAACCTTCAGGGAAGACTTTGGCTGGCAAAGTGTGTTATATCAGGTTCTAAATTCTCGGGCCGGCCCGGTGGCGCACTGCTACAGTGCACCGCTTGGGAGCGCGGTGGTGCTCCCGCTGAGGGTTCGGATCCCACATACAGACCGGCCGCTCACTGGCTGAGCGAGGTATGGGAGCAACACCGAGGGTTGCGATCCCGTTGCCGGTCCCCGGTCCGGTACGGGCGCGACACTGAGGGTTGCGATCCGTTGCCGGACACGAAAAAAAAAAGACGAAAAGGAAAAAATAAATAAATAAATAAATAAAAATAAAATAAAATAAATTCTCAACAGAGGCACAACCTCAGTGATGATGACAACCAAAGGCAGAGAGTCCTCAAAGCCAAACACCAAGGAGGAAGGAGGAAGACAATTAACTCATTTAAAATTGAGGACTGGCCAGTTAGTCAGCTGGTTAGAGCGTGATGTTGTAACACCAAGGTCAAGGGTTCGGATCCCCAAACCAGCCAGCTGCCAATAAATAAATTAAATAAATAAAATTGACCTGTATATGGTATCATGTCTATCTCCAGCCTCAGAAACCGAAATTCTTGTGGCAACTAAGATTTTGGAAAAGGGTAAAAAACACCAAATCCCACCTGCCAACTTGAATGCAAAAGTCCCCACGGATGGTCCCAGGCTTGGAGTCTGCAGGGTTGGTCTCCCCGAGCATCACTCGGCCTGTCTTCACAACATTCAGCCCCTCCCAGACCTCCAAGGACAAGAGAAGATATGGTCAAGGAAGAAAACCAATCTCAGCAGAGAATTTGGCAACTATAAATTCAAAAAAAGAAAAATAAAAAGGCCTGTTAAGATGACATTCAAAGCACAAATTCTGCAAGTGGGTAAGGGAGAAAAAAAAAAAAAGACATTGATTTATTGAATAAATATTTGTAGAGCATGTACTTGTTCCAGCACTGGGAATACCAGTCTTCCTGTCCTTACTCTTGCCTTTCTACAATCTGCTCTCAACAAGGTAGCCAGAGCAGCCTTTTTAAAATGCCAAGTGTAAAACCTTCCATAGCTTCCCAACACTCATGACACGCATGGCCAACACAGCCCTACATGATGTGGCCTCTGCCTGTGCCTCTGAACTCATCTCACCCTAACTTCTCTCACCCACCAGGCTTCAGCCATCTCAACCTTCTTTCTGTACTTCAAAAAGGCAAGCTCATCCCCACCAAAGGTCCTTTGCACATTGCAGTGGATTGAATCGTGTCCTCCCAAAACTCGCTGAAGCTTGAATTGTGTCGCCCAAGTTTTATGTATTAGAAATTTAGCCCCTACTGTGACTGTTAAGAAGGTAGGAGATCCTATTATGGTAATTGAAAGGTGGAGCCTTAAAGAGATTGGATCGTAGAACCGCACAGTAGTGAATGGATTAAAAATGATCATCAAGGGAGTGGTTCTGAGGGCTTTTTAAAAAAAGAGTCTGTCTGTCTCTCTCTCTCTCTGCTCTTTCTGCTTCCACCATCTTGCAATATGACACCCCTGGGTCACTGTCACCACCACCAGATGGACTTTGGACTTCCCAGCCTCAGAAACTAGCCTCAGAAATGAGGGCTTTTTAAAAAAAGAGTCTGTCTGTCTCTCTCTCTCTCTGCTCTTTCTGCTTCCACCATCTTGCAATATGACACCCCTGGGTCACTGTCACCACCACCAGATGGACTTTGGACTTCCCAGCCTCAGAAACTGTAAGCAATAAATTTCATTTTCTTCATAAATCACCCAGTTCAGTGTGCTTTGTGATAAGCAACACAGAACAGACTAATGAACACATGCTGTTTTCTTGTTTGGGAATGTTCTTCACTGTGATTTTGTGCACAGCTGGCTCCTTCTTGTCATTCACATCTAAGCTCAAGGGTTGGCTGGTTAGCTCAGTTGGTTAGTGCACAGCCTTAAAACACCAAGGCCATGGGTTCGAATCTCCTAACTGGCCAACCACCCAAACAGACCTGAGATTGAAAATCACACTCCTAAGACTGAAAATCCATCCACTCTAAAGGGATCATTTGCTATCACATCGTACTATTTCATTTCTGTGCTTATTACTAACCATTAGCTGATATATATTGATATATATATATATAGATAGATAGATAGATATACACACACACACACATATACATATATATATATATACACATATTATATACATATACAATATATACATATATTTATTTAATTTAGTTTCTTTATTGTCTGGCCAACTCCTTCAAGAAATATAGGCAAAGAAAACTATGAAAACGGATACCGATTTTGTCTCATTCGTGACTGTATCCCCAGTGTCTAGAAAAGAGCCTGGCACAAAGATGACAAGAAACACATACTTGGAGTAGTACTGCGAGTACCCAAGAGACTATCTCCCTGCCCTCCAGAAGCTTCCAATTGGGCAGATCTCTCTGGATCTCTCCCAGTCATGGTTCTTCAGATCAGCCAATAAGTGCTTCTTGTCTTTGGTAGGTCCTAGAGCTGACTCATATCCTAACTCCAATTTTCCCAGCCCCCATTTCCTCTGCATCAGTGAGGACCTGGCATCAGAAGCAGGAATCACAACACTCACTCTTCTCCACTCCCTACTGAGTCATTCATATCAACGTCCCACACAGATGCACTCACCATGGCAACCACTGGCCCTGAGTGCATGTACTTCACCAGGCCGGGAAAGAATGGACGGTCTTTCAGGTCAATGTAGTGTTCCTTGAGAAGGTCTTCAGAAGCCTAGTCCACAGGATACAGAATGAGAATTGGCCCTGAAACTACCTAAGAACCAGCAACTAGTCATTCCACCTCACCCATCCTGCTATTTTAAAACGTGAGCTCTCAACTCACTGATCGTTATAACCCAATTCATTTTCCACACTACCAGAGGGGAGCAGTGACAGGGACTTAAAAAGTGTTTCTGCAGTTTTGAACCAATTTTCCTCCTATTGGCCTTGATTGATCAGAATGAAACCACAGAACATTATAATTAAATTCAGCCATCTCATTTTAGACAGAAAAATTAACAATACAATGAATTTCCATTGCCAAAGCAAACCCCAACTAAAACACTAAAGGGAAGTGAGGGAGGTGGTCCTGGCATTTGATAAGCAGCAAACTGAACCAGGCCATTTCCCAGGGATGCTTCACATTTATTCACATGATAAAGGCCCAGTGTGCTGACCATGCGATTCCCATAGGTATGTGCAAACCACTCAAAAGTGCATGACATTTAGCAATAAATAATTTTGCTGAAGAATGAATTAGAACTTCTCATACTGCAGGGCTGGTATATGGGAACAAATCAAGTTAGCGAGAGAGCAAACCATCTGCTTAAGTTTCAGCTCACCTTGGCTGTGTTCTCTCTTTGCCACTGCATGTATACTTGCTAGCAGTCTAAAAGCATCCCTTAGTTTTTCCAGTTCTGAGGTACTGCATTGTATGAGGCATACTGCACACTTACGGATACACAAATGTGGAGATTAGCTGCCAAGAAGCCCATCCAGAACATCCTATCATTCAGCTGTTGATCACTTGCCAAAATAAGATTACATAACCACGTGATCACTCCATGGTAAGGATCCACCCTTCACCCTGTCCTTTCCTATCCAACTGGAAGACTTTTGTAGCAGTAATCTCCTTACACACACTGACTTGGCCTTCCCTTACCAGAATATTCTTTTAATTCTATTAATTAGTTCCGTTCACAATTAGTATGCAAAACAGATCACGGCGGGGCGGATAGGGGAGTGGAGAACCTCAAGTTTTCCCTTGCCTCCCACCTCCATACCTGATTTAAATGACCCTTTAGAGTCAGCTATCTCTTCTTCCATCCTTCACCAAACCCATATCCTTGATAGGAAATTCAGCATAAGTGAGAAAAACGTCTACACTTAGGTGTCAGAGAGACCCAAGTTAAAATCTCAGCTGCATTACTGACTGTGTGCTACCAAGCACATTACTTAATCTCTCTGAGCCTCAGGTTCCTCATCATTAACAACCATGAGAATAGGAATAAGTTTCTCTCTGGGTTGTCATGAAGGCTAGATGAGAAAAGATGTGCCCAGCACATGGTAAATGCCTGATCAACAATTCATTCATTTCATTTTACCTTCAAGCCTAATTTAATATGCAAATCCTCTGGAAAGCATTTTTTGTCTAACACCTGGCTCTAACCATTCCACCATGGGCTCCCCTGAGCGTTAACATCAGTCTACCCCCTTTTACATCAAAGAAGTTTTTCTAGGGCTAGCCAGTTGGTTAGAGCACAGCCTTGTAACAACAAGGTCAAGGGATCAGATCCCCATACCGGCCAGCTGCATAAAAATAAATAAATAAAGCAGTTTTTCTAAAACATCACACAGAAACTAAATTGCAAATCAAACTAAATTTAAGATGTTCTAGGAGGAAACTAAATAAATAAATAAACAACTAAAATGTACTGGGGGGTCCAAAGTTGATTCCTTTAATGGGAAAAAATACTGTCCCCTAATTTATTTGATTTGAATTCTCATCTCTTGGATTTGTCTGAAGAAGGGTTCTTGGCCAATGAATCCTTTGGATTTATTGAAAGATTGCTTTGTAAGTGTCTTGCAGGTGTGTCTGCTCTCTGCTGTGTCAGGAAAGCCTCCCCAAAGGCAACACCATGGTTGTCCTTCCATACACCCCTATGGTGTCAAATTTATGCTAGACACTAAGTGGGTGGTAACTGATGACGGAAAGATTTTCTTGCTGGCAAACAACCTGCCTCAAAAAGAAAAAAAAAAAAGGTCTCTAAAATTATCTCTTCTGGAAGCTCAAGACCAGGAACTCAAACAGGCCCAGAACTCTGAGTCAGAAATTACAGTGCTGCAGTAATATGTGGAACTCTGCATTGCTAAGGAGAAAAAGAGACAATTTTCAGAAGTCCCAAATAACTTGGTTTGTTTCAAGATTCAGCCAAGATGCTAGGCCACTGAAGAGTTTCCAGGTGTCAAGACATTTGTGTTCACCCTACTATGGAGAAGTCTAAAAAGGGGAGAGGGGAGAAACAAAGGTTAACCTTCAGCATCCCCCTGTACTACGAAGGAATCAAAATAAGAAGAATGAAGTGCACTTACCTGCATGAGTTTCATACTAACAAGGCGGAATCCCTTCTGCTCAAAACGCTTGATGATCTCTCCCACAAGACCCCGCTGGACCCCATCAGGCTTGATGGCAATGAAGGTACGCTCGTTGCTGGCCATAGTCCTGGGGATAGGAAAAGGGGACTGAAACAGTACTGAGTCTCCTGCTACGTCATTATCCTTCTCAAGTGGATTACCCCATAAAGCTGGTTTAAATCTGTCATGTCAACTCCAAGTCTCTCTCTGGTAAAAACCCACTTCTTCCCCAGTCCCCTCATCTATGAACTAATATCCCAAAGTGGAAAAGGGTCCAAAAGCAGGGGCTATAACTTCTATCCCATTTGATTTAATAAGCTTCTATTAAGCATCTACTGTGAACCCAATACTGTGTTGGAACTAAGGTAAAGGATGTGAAAATAACTCTCAATAATCCAGGTTGAGGAAAAACACTGATGTGTAGCTTTACTAGTGTGAAAGTGATGTCTGATACAAGGCAGTATGAAACAGTTTGACCTACTGCTACAACCATGGTATTGGAACTGGAAGGGGTTTTAGAAAACATGTCATTAAAACCCCCTTCATTTTACAAAGGAAATAAACAGGATAAGAGCACCGAAATGAGCAACAAAATCCCGATTTCCCAACCCTATGCAATATATACCACACCTTAAGATGTAATGAATATTCTTTTTTTTTTTTTTTTTCTTTTTAAAGATGACCGGTAAGGGGATCTTAACCCTTGGCTTGGTGTTGTCAGCACCACGCTCACCCAGTGAGCTAACCGGCCATCCCTATATGGGATCCGAACCCGTGGCCTTGGTGTTATCAGCACCGCACTCTCCCAAGTAAGCCATGGGCCGGTCCAAGATGTAATGAATATTCTAACAAGCCAATAAACGGTGGATTATAAGAGAACTACAGCCATTTGTAACATCTGATAAGGGATGTCATGCTGGAAGGAAGCTTAGAAAGCTTCTATTCCAAACTCTTCCTTTTCCAGAGAATATTGAGCTCGTGACCTGCCCTGTCTCCACAGGGTGAGAAGGGAGGAGGCCCCTCACCTTGAAAAACAACCCCTAATATCGATAGGAGCACCACCTCCTGGCTCCACCTTCCTGTACTTTAGATAATCTCTTATTATTGCACCTTAACACTGTACTCCAGTTTTCTGTTTGTATGTCTGCCTCCCACCGGTCTGTGGCCTGCATACAGGACTGGTTTACTGCTGTGTCTGTCTGTCGTACCTAGCCACAGGGCGAGCAGTCAATCAGTGCAAAGAAAATGCCTTAAATGATGATTGGATATGGAGGGTGATCAGAAGAAAGAAAAGAAAGAAAGAAAAAGAAAGGCCCTTAAATAATAACAGCGCCCACTCCTTGCAAGAAAAAGAGGCAAAGCCCACGGACTGGCTGAAGAACCTACGATGGAGCGCGGGGTAAGTGTGGATTCTCTAGGAGAAAACGGGGCTACTATAAAGAGCCAGAAACAGCCCCTATAAACGCCCCACCACACACATCGATGACACACGCCCGTCATTCATTCGGCAAGCACTACTGTGGGTCAGCTTCGCGCCCAACATTGTACTAGACAGAGATAAATGAGGAACAACGCGTCGTCATGGCCTGATGGGAAAGGCAGCCACGGACAAAGGCGGGTCCACGTGGCGTGGGACGTTCGCTGACAGGTCTGCACCTGTCCACAGGCGCTCCCCGCCGCTCCCTCCCATCCAGTCCCCGGCCCCCGCCCCCTCTCCGAGAGGAACTCACCTCTTCACTAAATCTCTTCACTTCCTCCTCCCCCGAACCCACACCTTCTCCTTTCCTTTCAGGACCTCGAACCCTTCTCACCCCCTCCAGCTGCTTGGGCTTTAACTCCGGCTGCGGCAGCCGGCACCGGAAACGCACTCGGCCCCGGAAACGCACTCGGCCCCCACGTGGCTGCCGGCACCCGCACGCACGGAACGCTTCTAAGCAGTTTAGGCTGCCGGAGGGCCCATTTTTCAGAACACCGCTCGCCCACGCTTCCTCCTGTGAGTAGGGCGGCATTCTAGGGAGCAACCTTTCGAGGTTTAACTTCCGGCTCTGGTTTTTTCAGGCTTTTCCGGCCGTCTGCCTTCCCCTCCCCCGAGGTTCTGTGACTCACTTCCGTCGTACTTCTGTCGGCTTCCCGAGAGGTGGCGCTCACGCTTTGCCTGAAATCCAAACAAGCTCCTGACCTAGAAGTAGATTTTGGCGCTCCCGCTTTCGTGTGTTCATCACTTCTAGCCTGTCAAGCAATAAGTGATTTATTGAGTACCTACTATGTGCCAGGCACTATTCTAGGCCCTTAGCACATGACGCTATGCTCTCTTGGAGCTTCTGGTAGGGTTGGGAGTAAGCAAATTAATATGTAATATATCGTATTATGTTAAGTGCTGTGAAGAAAAAAGCAGGACGGGGAAAATAATGTTGGTCGGGGAAATCTCTCAAAGTGATAATAGAATATAGATCTTCATGAAGGGAGGGAGCAAGCTCCCTAATTATCTGAGAGCCGGGTATCGAGGGGGAGAAAATGCGGTTGGAAAGGGACCCGATTATGTTGTGGTGGGAAGCCAGTGGAGGTTTGGACAGGACGTGACATCATCGGCTATACATTTTTTTTTTTTTTAATTATTCTGATTGCAGAATGGGGAATGAATGGAGGAAAGGGACAATGGTGGAATCAGGAGCCTTTTCAACAAATGGTGCTGGAGCAATCATACATGTATAGAACAACAAAAAAAACGTGAACCTCGACCTAAACCTCACGCCTTACACAAAACCAACACAAAGTGGGTCATAGAGTTAAATGGAAAATGGAAAATTCTAAAACATTTAAAAAAATAGGAAAAGAAAACCCTCAGGACCTAGCACTAGGCAAAGAACTTTTAGGGCCGGCCCGTGGCTCACTTGGGAGAGTGTGGTGCTGATAACACCAAGGCCACGGGTTCGGATCCCATATAGGGATGGCTGGTTTGCTCACTGGGTGAGCGTGGTGCTGACAACACCAAGTCAAGGGTTAAGATCCCCTTACTGGTCATCTTTTTTTTTTTTTTTTCCTTTTTGTCTTTTTTCGTGACAGGCAACGGATCGCAACCCTCAGTGTCGCGCCCGTACCGGACCGGGACCAGCAACGGGATCACAACCCTTGGTGTTGCGCCCACACCTCGCTCAGCCAGTGAGCAGCCGGTCTGTATGTGGGATCCGAACCCTCAGCGGGACCGCCGCCGCGCTCCCAAGCGGCGCACTGTAGCAGTGCGCCACCGGGCCGGCCTTACTGGTCATCTTTTAAAAAAAAAAACCAAAAAACAAAGAACTTTTAGACTTAACACCAAATGAACAATCCATAAAAGGAAAAAGTTGATAAATTGGACCTTATCAAAACTGAAAACTTGTGCTCTGCAAAAGACCTTGTGAAGAGGATGAAAAAACAAGCTAAAGTGGAAAAAAAAATATTTGAAAACCATGTATGCGACAAAGGCCTTTACTCATATCTAGAATATATAAAGAGGACTGGCCAGTTATTAGCTCAGTTGGTAAGAGTGTGGTGATGGATAACACCAACATCCAGGGTTTGATCCGTGTACCGACCTTCTGCCAAAATATATAGAGAGAATATATAAAAAAAAAAAAAAAACTCTTAAAACTCAAGTGTTAAAAAAAAATCCAACCAGGAAATGGACAAAAGACAAGGATAATCTTTTCACTGAAGAGGATATATAGAACATTTAAAAGCACATGAAAAGATGTTCAACATCATCAGCCATTATGGAAGTGCAAATTAAAACCACAATGAGATGTTATATCACCACACACCTATCAGAATGCTAAAATAAAAAATAGTAATAATACCAAATGCTGTCCAGAAGGTAGAGAAACTGGATCCACACTACTGGCAGGAATGTAAAATTGTACAGCCACTCTGGAAAAGTTTGACAGTTTCTTGTAAAACTAAACATGTGCTTACATATAACCCAGCAATTGCACTCTTGGGCATTTATCCTAGAAAAATGAAAACTTACGTTCTGTCCACACAGAAACCTGTGCACAAATGTTCATAGCAGTGTTATTTGTAATAGCCAAAAACTAGAAACATCCAAGTGTCTTTCATCAAGTGAATGGCTAAACAAACTAGGGCACATCTATACCATGAAACACTATTTAACAACAGAAGAAAAGGACAAGCTATCATCACACACGACAACTTGATTCGATCTCAAGGGAATTATGCTGACCGAAAAAAGACAATCACAAAATATTACATACTACATTATTGCATTTATGTATTATTATTGAAATAGCAAAAATATAGAGATAGAGAATAGATTAGTGATTGTCAGGAGTTAGGGGTGGGGGAGAGGGCATGAGTATGTCCATAAAGGGATAACAAAAGAGTCTTGGGGTAACGTAACAGTTCCATACAGTTGGTCCTCCATATCCATGAGTTCTGCATCCACGGATTGAACTGACAGCAGATAGAAAATATTTGGGAAAAAAGCTTAAAATAACAGTATAATAATAAAAATAATACAAATTAAAAAAACAATGCAGTATGACAACTCTTTATATATAATTTACATTGTATTAGGTATTTTAAGTAATCTGGAGATGATTTAAAGTAAATGGGATAAATACTGTGCATTTTCTATCAGGGACTTGAGCATCTGCAAATTTTGGTATCCATGGTGGTGGTGTGATGGTGGTTGGGATCCTAGAACGAATCCCTGTGGATACCAAGGGACAACTGTATCTTGATTACGGTGACAATCACATGAATGTACACATGTGGCAAAGTTGCATGGAACTATACATACATGCACACAAATGAGTGTATGTAAAACTGGTGAGAACTGAATAAACAAATCACTTCTGTGGATTATAACAACGTCAATTTCCTGGCTTTAATATTGTAAGATGTTACCACTAGGGGACACTGGATGCAGGGTACATGGGACTTCCTTGTACTTGTCTTTTTTGCAACTTCCTGTGAACCTATAATTATTTTAACTTTTAAAAAATTTAGGTGGAATCAGAAAAACTGGTTGAGACTTACAGTAATCCAAGTGAGAGATGATGGTGGTTTGCAGTGGATGATGACAAAAGAGATAGAGACCAGTGGTTAATAATAGGATATACAGTTAAGATCAAGGCCACACACTGCTGATGGATAGGATGTGGAGTGTGAGAGAGAGAAGACTAAATGAAGACAACCAGATTCCTTTTTTTAAAAAGTTTATTTATTAATATTACTTTTTTTTTTTACATTCTATGATGTTGCGGGGCAGTTCGGGGAGAGATGGAAGAGGGGAAAAGGAAAAGAAATAGGGTGGTAGAAGGGGGAAGGAGGAGGGGTCAGGTTGAGGCCTGTGGCACCTCCCTCATTCCTGCATGGGAGACCAGGGAGCTCCTAGCCCTGGCTTGGTCATCACTGGGCTGATTGCGGGTGTGGAGCGGCATGGCCGAGGCCCATGGCCCCCACTGCCCCTGCTCGGGAGAGACCAGGGTGCTTCCTGCGACTTCCTGTGGCAGCTCGGTGGTCATTGCTGGGCTGGTTGCGGGTGTCAGAGGGGCGTGGCTGAGGCTCTTGCCACTGGGCTGCCCTGGCTTGGGAGAGCCTGGGGCACTTTAAGGGAATGCATTAAATGTCAGTTCAATAAAGTTATTTAGAAATCACCTTTTTTTTTTTTTTTGGCTTTTTGTCTTTTTTCGTGCCCGGCAACGGATCGCAACCCTCAGTGTCGCACCCGTACCGGACCAGGACCGGCAACAGGATCGCAACACTCGGGGTTGCCCCCACTCCCCCCT